CACAATCAGTACGGTGGCAAAGACCTGCAGGTGAGATAGCGAGGAGGACTTCATCTCTTCTCTCCCTCCTCCATCTCTCTCTCTCTCTCTCTCTCTCTCTCTCTCTCTCTCTCTCTCTCTCTCTTCTCCTTCCTTCCTCCTCTTTCTTATCTTCTTTTTCGAATCTGAGAATGTGAGAGGTTGTCAGAAGGGATTAAGGCAGAGGTTAGGCTGGGCGCATTGCCCAGGATCTGATTCGACATTTATGGGACAGACATTGATTGGACACTCGGCAAGGGACTATTTTTTGGGACTTCGCTATTGTGATCTTGGTCTACTCCCTTGCCTTCTTCCTCCTCGTCTCGTCCCTCCCCCATCTCTCATCCGTGGTATCTTCCCATGTATGTGTGTGAGGAAGGGACCTTTCTTTCATGATTACGGTCCTTCCTCTCTCTCTCGCCTGTGTGATGTGTGATGGATGTCGGGTCAGTCTAGATCAGATCATATCTTCTCCTTAAGTCTTCCATTGCGCCATTTTGTGCCATCTTGTATGTATCCGGAATGTACGTTGCTTGTTGATGTTATGCCGACCTCGCATTGTCCATTTTAGTCCTTTTCATCACATAGCGGATCCTTGGCTCCCTGCGCATTGTCCCACTTTACATGCGCCAGTTTTGGTATCGGAGCCCCACACGTGAATCAGGACTTATCAACCTGATCTGACACGTGTGCGGGGACTATTTTGATTGATTAGTCCCTGACTGATTGATTGATTGATCCCTGATCGATTGATTGATTGATCCCTGATTGATTGATTGATTGATTGATCGATCAGTGATTGATTGATTGATTGATTGATTGATTGGATGACACTAATTAGTCCCCAAAATTGCAGATTTTGACCTAACTGCCGAAATCAAAATTTTTTCCCTCTTTAGGATTGCATTTTCCCGCAATTTTTTTTCGAGGAAAATCGCAATAGCAAAGCATCTGAAATTCTCATTTTTCACTTTTTTTCTGAAATTCGAAATTCGTTGCTCGAGATCCGGAATACTGTTACGAAAAGTTTCTTTCGATTCATGTCCTTCTGCAATTTCCTGATATTTCAAAAAGATTCCGCGATTTGTTTTTCGAATTTGTCATTTCGAAGTTTTTTCTCTGAAATCCAAAATTTCGTATTTTTTTTATTTATTTCCGTTACAAAATTCCCGTTATTCCAAAATTCTGAATTTTTTTTTCTGAAATTTATCTTTTTTTATTATTTCAAATTTCTGGAAACCCCCCAGCATTCTTCACAAAGTCTGGGGGCAACGACCATTTCAATATTGGTCGTTAATCTGAGTTTTGGAAATTCTACTTTTTCGGGAAAATCCTCTTGCAGTTATACTCTCACCTAAAAAATTTCGATTTTTTTTTGGTATTTCGGAATTTTCTGGACGTGCGAAAATTCGTATTTTTTTTTTCTTACTATTTTTGCAGTTCAGCTACTCCTGTAATAACCCTGTTCAGAAGTAACCTGGGGCCCAGAACTCAGCCCCAGGCCACGCAGACCTGAGAAGGTTTGCGCTGGGCTGTATGACAATGACACACCCACGCCTGAGTCTGTTGAGTGTGGCTGTGTGACCGAACGCTGCACACAGGAAATTCAAGAGTCAAAGTCAAATGTAGAGTCAAAGGTACGGCACCCAGGCCCTGGGTTGGATACACTCACTTGTTGTGCGCAGGTACCCAGACAGCATCCAGGCCGGAGGGAATTCGGTTTCAGGCCGATCTGAGCCCTCATTCGCATTGAGATCTGGACGGCCCAGTTATACAGCAGCCGGGGTCCAGACCCCGCGTCAACACTACATAAGAGTTGACTTCCTGGCTGTGAGACTCATTCTGTCTTGCGTTGATGCTGACTTCACGCATTGACTTCGATGCTGGCTTGACGCTGCGACGCTGGCTCGACGCTGCTGGCATTGTAACTTGACGAGGCGCTGCTATTCCGGCATGGTGGTTGGCTTGCTCCTGTCTTCTTGGCATGTTGACGTGGCAGCTGCCATGCGCCTTCGCTGATGTGGCTGCTGCCACGTGTTTCATTTGGCTGACGTGGCTGTTGTCCACGTGTTCTATTGCGGGGACTTCAGGATCGACATTGCTGTTCTGTTTTGTCGTCACTTCAGGAGGAGATCAGGACTGTGGGGAGTTCGAGGATACGTACATGGTGGTCTTCATGTCGACATTGCTCCAGGTGCTGATGTGGAACTGATTAGACGTGCCACGTGGCACATTGAGGATACTTGGATACACGTTCAGACTACTGATTGTTGGGGTGGCAGTGGAGGAGGGAGCCCGAAGCAGGAGTGGGCATTTTTCTTCCTCTCCTTTGTCTCTTCTCCCTCCTCTCTCTTCGTCTGTGTATGATATTTCACCTCATTCTGTCTGGTCACGATTTTTTTTATTATTTGTAATCATCAGCCGATGGACATTTATCTGGACTTGCATTGTTGACAATTGTCTCTCGATCTGGGTTCATTACAATTTGGTATCGGAGCTAATCTCCTGACGACGACATTAGCATGTGGTATGCGCCAGGTGGCGCGCAGGTAAGTGAGGTTGAGTAGGTGATGACGTGGCAAGGGTGATGACGTGGCACATACCTATTGGCGAGGATATACTTCTGGGGTCTGCTGACAAATCACTGGCGAGAAGACATTGTCGGGACTGTTGACGAGGTACAGGCTTCATTGGCAGGAAGAGATCCCTACCAAGCTGCTGACGTGGCAGTAGGGACTGCGACTGGAGATACTGCACACCAGCCTGGATCGCGATTGTGATGTGGCATCGCGATCCCTTGCTGACGTGGCATGTGTTGTGCCACGTCTGAAGACCCTGTTACTGATGCTGACGTGGCACTTCTTGTGTTGCTGACACGCGACAGGGTCTATTGCAGATGCTGACGTGGCCTGGAGGAAGGAAGATTGATTGTTGACGTGACAGGAGCAGGTCATCACACTTGTCTTATGAGGTGGTGTCTGCCTGCTGACGTGGCATTGAACTCCTTGGCTGACGAGGCATTATCTGACTCGCTGGAACGGCGACGGTATCTCACTTGATGTTTGGAAGAGGCACGTGGCAAGGATTGGACTACTTATTTGCTGACGTGGCATCCCATTATTGATAGACTGGACAGAGTGCTGACGTGGCAACATTGCTATGTTGGCACTCCAGGGGTGACACGTGGCAGGCAGGACACTGCCAAGTAAGAGGTGTACTCTAAAGACGACGGCGGTACAACTGACTGGACAGATTACACAGCTGTAGTGCCAGCTGTCAGGGGAAGTGCGTGATCGCACAAACATCAAGAAGACACAGCAGATTAATGAAGGTTGCTGACAAACTGTTTGTGATTGTTGTTGGCATACTTACCTGTTGTTGCTGTGTGTGGTGTTTGCGTACTTACTTGTGTGTTGTGTCTGATCACACGGGCCTATAGTGGTACCTGTACACTCTCGAGTAGGACGTCATCACACAGACAAAGAACAACAATAGTTAGAAATAGAAATAATTGTTTCTGATTCTTTTCCTTCGGTTCTTTGAAACCTTGTTGTGGTAGAATCAGTGCAGCCGTGGAATTTATTACCGTTAATTAAGTATTTATTGTGCAGCAGACGTACTTTACGATGTCTTTACTCTGGAATTCTCTGAAATTGTCGGTGCTCACACGTCTCATCCCACTTCTTTTCTACCCAGTCTCACTCATGTTTGCTGTGGATGAGGAGACTCCTGACCCCCGAACAAAGCAGCAAGTGAAAGAGCGGAAAAAAGTCTTGATTGCCCATTTGGACAAATTGATGTCTGAACTTCATGATGCCGGTGAAGATGTTGAGGCTCACGTCCGGAGCCTGTACGATTTAAGAGCACTACATGATGCTATTGAATCGTCTGTCACAGGCACCAACGTCGTTCAGGTTCAAGAGATACTAATCAAGTGCCGACAGGCACTTGATAAGTATATCATGGATCAACTCACTCAGATTGTTGGACAGAAAGAAGAAGAAGAAAGGGTCGTGTCTGAAGAGACTATGGATGAGAATATCAGACAACTTGAAGAAGCACTAGAAAAAGAGAAGAAGAGGAAAGAAGAATTGAGGAAGAAGAAGATTGAACAACAAGAGCAAAAAGTTCAAGAGGTTAGACAAACTGTTGTTAAAACTGAAGGGGAAGAACAAGAAATTTCCTTGGCTCAGCTTGTGAATTACCTTGCTCACTTGGAACTGAAAATTGATCAGTTTGGCGAAAGGATGCAGTCACAAATTGATGATGTGGCCTCAGGGTTTCGGACAATCACGAATTTGGTCAAGGGAAAGGAAAAGGTCAAGGAAGAAAAGACTGAAAAGACAGAGAAACTCATGGGAGATGCCATGAAGTCTCTCAAGGTAGAAACAAAGAAGACGGAAGAGAAACCAGAAACAAAGAAAGGGGAGCCTTCGAGTCCGTTGTCTTCTCCACCCAACTCCCCTCCTTCCTCTCCACCTCCAAAGTCTTCTTCTCCGAAGCCACAGGACAAAGTAACGACTCCGAAGAAACCAAAGAGGAAAAAAAAAGTTAAAATGAAATTGCCTTTCACGTTCTGTAATAAGAAAGACGAAAATCTGCTTTTGTGGATCGCAGAGATTCAAACGTACTGTGGCACGGCCCCTGTCGAACGCGAATCCCAGGTTGCTTTCTCTACTTCTTGTATTGGTGGGGAAGCTAAGGAGTGGGTTTTGGCCGAAGCCAATGCCGCAGGGTTCGATGACATCGGGGAGTGGGCTGGAACATTGAACCTCAAACAGTTCCTTGGGAAGATCAAGGAACGGTTTTTGAACAAAACGACGGCCGACAAAGCCTTTGACCAGCTCACCACAATTGGTCAAAAGCATTGGACCTTTGTGGAGTCGTTATCCCGGGAAGTTGATCGGTTGCTGCAGGTTTCCGGATTGAACCTGCAAGACAACCAGGTCTTGTACATCTATTCCCGAGCTCTGCCCGAGCCCATTCGTGGACAACTCGTGGCAGAGTCTAAGTCTGGTAAGTATAACTATAGGCAATTTCGGGATTTGGCTCTCCAACGAGAGCAAATGACCTCTCATGTGAAGAACTCTTATGCATCTGTTGTTAAGTATGGTGGTGGTGCAGGAACAAGAAAGCGGGTATTTTGGCGCCAAAAGCGCCATGACCACACCCTTGTCGTCTTCGATGACGAAACTGTGGAAAGGTGGTCGTTGGAGGCCGAGGGTGTGGCAAACAGCAGTGATTCCAGGAAGGGGGAAGTCACTGCTGCCGTAGTCAACAGGGGAGGACCACGACCGCCAGTCAAGAAGAAGAAGCCACGCTCGTTCCCAGAGCACCCCGGGATTGCGGCTGGGAAGCCTTGGAAAAAGATGGGTCTGTCACGAGAAATGTGGCAGGAACGAATGGACAACGCGCAGTGCCTGAAGTGTGGCATTGCAGGGCATGTGATTGCATGGTGCCCGTTGATCCGAAACCCCAAAGCGAGCCGCCAGTAGGAGTAGCATATCCTCCTACTTAGTCTAAGGGTTTGGAACAAGAAGAAGGTAAGGCACCTACTAGCCCTTCCAACCCTTTGACTCGCATGGCAGAGGATGGTTCTTCTTCGGCCCATCGTCCAGAACACCCTGAACCTGTCTTATGTTCTATCTCTCAAGACGACTCCATTGACGAGCTTGGTAACGAGTTGCTGGCATTACGAAGCTCGTGGGCTAAGAAAGCTAAGTCCAAGGGCGACCTACTACCCGCGGATGTAGAAATCGCACGTACACGCATAGGTGCTCTGTTGGACTCAGGATCCACGCGATCCTATATATCCGAGAAAGCAATCCGCAAATTGCATCTCGAAATGAAGGCAAAAGATTTTTCTAGACCTATCACATCTGTTATGGCTAACAAAAGCACGATCACTGTCTCGCAGTATGTTGATCGTGTCAAGTGTTGGTTTCGAACAAAGGAAGGTAAGAAAATTTTGCATGAGGTATCCTTCCTGATAGAAAATAACTTACCGTTTGACTTGATTCTGGGAATGGATTGGCACGAGGAAGCCAACCCAGACATTAAGTTCAAAGAGAAGGTTGTGCAGTTGCGAGACGCACAATCTAATATGAAACCAATCAAATTGTTTCATAAGTCTGGATCTGATTCTAGTCTGTTTTTTTGTTATATGAGTTATCCAGCCTTTCGCTCAATGGTTTCAAAGAAGAAGTTGGAACAGGAAGTAATGATGGTTTTAGTAAAAAGAGCAAGAGAGTCTTCTACTTCCTATCCTCCTTCAATTGAAAAACTCTTAAATGGATATAAAGAACTATTCAACGAACCGACATGAATAACCGCGCGTGCTATAAAGCACACCATTGAAATTATTCCTGGCAGTAAGATCCCCAAGGGCCCTATCCACCGCATGTCTGCTAGGGAACTTGAGGAACTAAGAAAACAACTGCAGGACTTAACAGAGGAAGGATGGTTTCACCTTAGCTCTTCTCCTTATGGTGCCCCTGTCTTATTTGTGCCCAAAAAGGAAGGTGAGTTGCGTCTCTGTATTGACTACAGAGGGTTGAATGTCGTCACTGTTAAGAATGTTGAACCGCTTCCTCGCATTGACGACTTACTTGAGCAGTTACAGGGATGCAGGTACTTTAGCAAAATCGACTTGAAATCTGGATATCACCAGATTGAGGTGGAACCCTCCGATCAGCATAAGACCACTTTCCGGACAAGGTATGGCCACTACGAGTTTGTGGTAATGCCCTTCGGATTAACGAATGCCCCTGCTACTTTCCAAAGGTCAATGAATGACATGTTTCGTAAGTGGTTAGATAAGTTTGTTATTGTCTATCTCGATGATATTTTAGTGTATAGTAAAACACTAGAGGATCATGAGAAGCACCTTCGTCTGGTGCTAGGGAAGTTGCGTGAGGGCAATTTCAAGATCAATCCCAAGAAGTTTGAGTTTGCTAATTCCGAAGTGTTATACTTAGGACACATAGTGAACGAAGAAGGTTTAAGGCCGAAAGAGAAAAAGATTTCAGCAATTAGAGATTGGCCACAACCTAAGTCTATCACTGAATTACGATCTTTCCTTCGTTTAGCCAGTTATTACAGGAAGTTTGTCAGAAACTTCTCATTGATTGTTGCACCAATACGAAGATTGTTAAAAAAAGAAACTATCTGGTTGTGAAATAAGGATTGTGAGTCTTCCTTTCGGAAACTGAAGTATGCACTGACTCACTACCCCGTCCTTAAGATTGCTGACCCATCTTTGCCTTTCATTGTCACTACTGATGCAAGTGAGTATGGGATTGGCGCTGTTCTACAGCAAGATGACGGCAAGGGCTATAGGCCCATAGAGTTTATGTCTGCACGACCGCCGTCTGAAAAGGTTGCCAACTCCACCTATGAAAGGGAGTTGTATGCCTTAGTCTATGCACTAAACACGTGGAAGCACTACTTGTTAGGGAGACACTTCATTGTGTACTCAGACCACTCTACCCTGAAGTGGATAAAGACAATGTCCAGATGCTGATGTGGAACTGATTAGACGTGCCACGTGGCACATTGAGGATACTTGGATACTCGTTCAGACTATTGATTGTTGGGGTGGCAGTGGAAGAGGGAGCCCGAAGCAGGAGTGGGCATTTTTCTTCCTCTGTCTCTTCTCCCTCCTCTCTCTTCGTCTGTGTATGATATTTCACCTCATTCTGTCTGGTCACAATCTTTTTTATTATTTGTAATCATCAGCCGATGGACATTTATCTGAACTTGCATTGTTGACAACTGTCTCTCGATCTGGGTTCATTACACTCGCATAATCTCCAATTGATATTTTGATTCATTTGCAGTCTGAAATTCGAAAATTTTGTTTTTTTTTTCGAACTAACTGCTGAGGGGATACTTGGGGGGGCCTACCGAACTTGCAAAATTCAAAAAAAAAAAATCCACGATTTTTTTTGCAAAAGTTCCAATTTTTTTCTTGATCATCGGCCTTGGCTGCTGCTGCCGCGTGCTTCTGTCGGTGTTCTTCGGCCAGAAGACGCAGTCACTCTGCCTCTGCCTCTCTCTTCTTCCGTGCTACTGCCGCTGCTTCTGCCTGTTGCTTGCTTTCGGCTATGATGGCCGCCAACCGTGCCTCATAGGCTTCGTCAGACTCGCCTGCTTTCTGATCCATCGCTGTTGTCTGCAAGCGAGTAAGTATGGTCATGCGCTGCGGGTCCCTGACGTGGCCTGCTGAAGTGAGGACTTACCAGGTCTGCAACTGCAGGTGAATGGGCAGTTAAGAAGGACGGAGAAGGGATGGAGAGTTGGGGTGGGGAGAAGGGGAGTGTGCAATTGAATAGGTCGCCCAGATAGGGGGCCACTGCGGCGACGCGAGGTTATATTCAGGGAGGAGAATGCATTACATGCACAGGCCAAGGACTGGCAGAGGGAGACCGAGAACGGAGAATCTGTTGACTACGGGATCAGAGTAGCTCAACTGCTCAACCGCGTCACGGACCTCCTCGCTACTTGTATCGCGCAGCAGGAGGACATCCACTCTCTCGACCACACCAACAAGGCGTTACAACAGTCGATGGACCAGATGCTCAAGCGCATACAACAGCTGGAGCAGCAGGACGCTACTGCCAGCGCCGACCCTCTGACCTCACCGATCGCGTCACTGTCTTGGAGATAGACGTTGGAACACTTAAGACTGGGGCACAGCAGCTGCAACAGCAGGTTTCCGCAGCGGCCGGCCCTAGCGCAACGACATGCGAAACTATTGCCAAGTTCGATGGGCTCCGGATCTTCTGTGACGCATCGAAGACCGACCCCATCCAATGGTGGCGCCAGTTTGAACTCAAGCTGGATATCCACCACGTCATCGACGCAAATCGGCATGCATATTTGTACTCCCGCTCAGGAGGCGCGTGTCAGGCATGGTTGGACAACATGCTGTCCGCACATGCATGTACAGTCACCGAGTTACACAATTACATCACCTGGGCGGATCTCACGGCGGCATGGAAGAAGCGTTTCCAAGTAGAACCGCCCGAGCACCAGGCGATGGACAAGCTGCTGACATTTTCGCAGAACAGCATGCCAAGTGGAGAYTGGATATCCGAGTTCCAACGACTGGCAAGCACGCCCAAGTTGCCGATGAATTTCGACGGCATCAAGCTTTACTTCATAAAGAGGTCGTGCCCAGCGTTGCGGAGTGCGTTAACTCAAGCTGGATATCCACCACGTCATCTCTGAAAAAGCAACTGGCTGCTGCTGGACCTCCGTTTGGTTGGGCCTCCCAACTGCTTGTGTATGAGGCTGCGATTCTCGCCCAGGGACAACATTTTTGGAAAAGCCCAGAAGGCCGTGGAAATGTCTTGCTGCTCGGCCTCTGTTTCCCTCAACCAACTGGCGCGTCGAAATTGCCTGGACCCTAAGTACGAAATTGACAGTTGAGGGTCTCTCGTGATTTTGTTAGGCCCGCCTTCACTTAGGGCGGGCACATTTGCAACAGTGCCCCTTAAGCGTGCCGAGGACATAGAATCCTCGCATTCCCTCCTCCATTTCTTCTATAGTCCTCTGAGAAGTCTTCTAATCTGCAGGCATCTTCCCCTGAAGTTCTCTTTCATAGCCTACGATAACTTGAGGTGTTGTTCTCATGAGTTATTCTCAGGTGAACCACCGATCTTCCTTGGGATCCAGATGATGCCTAAATGTTACTCGGTATTGCATTATCGGCTTAGGAAGTCGGCCTCTGCGTGGCGGTTTAGGCACCAGCATCACTCAATGCTCCACAATTTCGTCGATGCCAACTTCACCATCCATGGTTGGGGGCGACATTGACCGTCTGGAAGGGAACTGTGCTGTTTTTGCGAAAGGTGCCAGCTTTGAAGCGTGAAAAACAGGGTGTGTACGTAGATGTGGTGGGACGTGAATCACATGAGAAGGTCCGTCTATCTGATCCCCCACTATGTCTAGGACCTCCCAGGGACCGAGGTACTGTGGCATTCTTTTTCTAGATATTCCCAGTTCCTGTCCCAGTTCAGATGATTTTACCTAGACCATGTCCCCTACCTGGAAGTTAGAAGGCTGCCTGTGTTTGTTCTAAGATGCAATCATAGCATCTTGAGATTTCCTCATATGCTCGACGGCCTGCTGCAACATTTGTTCGTACTTGACAGCAAATTCTATGCTGTCTGGTGCTGCAGTGGTCTACGCTCAGGTAGTAGGAAATCAAGCGCGGAACGAGGCTTCCAACCAAGATGTAGTTGGTTGGGAGTCATGCCAGTAGCGCTATGTACAACGTTGTTGTATAGGCTGGTGACGAGAGGTAGTTTCTCATCCCAGTCATCTTGTCTTGGCTTAATGTAGTGCCTAAGCAGGTGCTACACTACCCTGTTCATTTGTTCCGCCTGTCCATTTGACTCAGGTTGATTCCCTGATGTCATTTGCAGTCTGGTTCTCATCTGTTGGGCGGTGTTTTGCCACTGTTCGCTTGGTAAAGTGAACATCCCTATCACTGATTATGGACTTAGGTAAACCAAAGTCCCGTACCCAGCTATCCATAAATAATCTGATGACGTAGTCAGTCTTGGCAGTTTCAGGCATAGCCATTAGTCTTGCATACTTAGAGAAGCGGTCTACTATAACAAAGATGTACCTTTTTCCACACCTGCTGGTCACAAGAGTATCCATGAAGCCCATGGACACACTCTGACCAGGACCTTCAAGAATCGACAAGGGCTTAATGAGCCCAAGCGGAGCCTAAGTCCTAGGTTTGTCCCATTGACAAACTTAGCAGGTTTCTACTTACCTTTTGGCATCTTGCATCATAGAAGGCCACCAGAATCTCTGCACAAGGTTAGCTGAAGTCTTCTTATAGCCGAAATGGCCAGTTGCATCATGACATTCTCCTAAAAACACACTACGCAAAGACTCACTATTCAGAACATACAGTCTTTTATTCCCTGCCTTCACAAGAAACAGTAAGCCTTCTATCATTGTAAATTCATCGGAGGTTACCTTATCCTTCGCTTGAAATCTACGATTGATCTCAGACATAACTGGATCTTGCTGATAGGCTTCCACCAAGGATCGAGTTACATCGTCAAATATACCAAACTCAGTCACTAGTGTGCCCAACTAATCTGCCCTTCGCGATAGTGCATCAACCACTTTGTTATACTCTCCCTTGATTGGATCAAGTTGATAGTCATACATGTCTATCACTTGAATCCACCGCTTAAGTGTGTTAGAGAGTACAAGTTGTGTCTTGATCGAGCGCAAGGTCCCATGGTCAGATCTCAAGTAGAAGAATTTGCCTAGGAGGTAGTGTCTCCAATGGACCAACGCTCTATAGAGGGCATAGAGCTCATGCTCATACGTGGACTGCTAGCTTTTGAGACGACATCTTCTTACTCATATGCTCGATGGGTCTCAACTTTGGCCCCTCCTTTTCGCAAGGACCGCGCCTATGCCATAATGCCTGGCGTCTGTGGTCATAACAAATGGCTTATCAGGATCCGAAAGTTTGAGGACCTCGTAGTGTGTCAGAGCATACTTCAATTTCTTGAAACTTGCCTCACACTCTTCAGTCCACTCCCAAGGGGTGTCAAGTCGAGTTAGATCTGTTAATGGGGAAGCTATAGTACTTCAGTTCTTAACAAACGGACGATAGTAGCACATTATCCCCAAAAACGATCGGACCTCAGTAATAGTCTGAGGCCTGGGCCAGTCCCGTATGCTGGCCACTTTGGCATCGTTCGGCCTCAACCCATCCGCTGAGATTTCATGACCCAAGTACAAGATCTTGGTGCGACCGAACTCGCATTTCTCCAAGTTTACCTTGTACTGGTGTTGTCTTAGGAGACCTAGCACTATTTTCAAGTGCTCATCGTGCTCCTCTACAATCCTACTAAAGATAAGGATATCGTCGAGGTACACGACGATAAACTTGTTCAAGTAATCATGAAATATCCTATTCATGGCGTTGGAATGTCCCAGGTGCATTGCATAGGCGAAAGGGCATCACCACAAACTCGTACAAACTGTACCTGGTCTAAAAGACGGTTTTGTGCTGATCCTCAGGTCTAATGGCAATTTGATGGTATCCGAACTTCATATCTATCTTTGTGAAGTACCGACATCCTTGCACTTTATCCAATAGGTCGTCGATGCGGGGTAGGGACTTTGTGTTCTTAACAGTAATGGCATTGAGGCCCCTATAGTCAATGCACATCCTTAAGGTACCTCCTTTCTTAGGAACAAATAGGACTGGTGCACCGTAAGGGGGGGTACTAGGCCGAATCCATCCCTTCTCTGTGAGTTCTTTGAGCTGGCGGCGGAGCTCGTCCAATTTCGTGGGAGACATCCTGTAGATGCGTCCTCTAGGTACCTTACTACCGGGGACAACCTCTATTGCATGGACCACCTCCCTTTCAACCACTCCAGTGGGCTCCTCGAAAACGTCGAAATACTGAGCGACGACTGATTCTGTCTCTGGGGGTGTTTTTACGGCCTCCCCTTTTTCAGAGACAAAGACTAGATACATGCCCTCCTCACGATTCTGCTTATAGTAGTTATAGAAAGAGGAGGCACACATACAGCCATAGTTTTCCAATAGACTGCTAGCTTTGAACTTTTGCAATCTAACGGTTCTACCGTTTGGCAGCTTGTGTATCAACACCTTCATATCCCAGTCGAACTGAGGTTGAGCAACCTCAAGGTAGTACATGCCTAGCAACATATCAAAGAGCACTTCGTCGCTGACGAGGACTAAGATTTTGTGTCTCACTTCCCCTCCTCCATAAGAGAAGGAACAGACTACGTCCTTGACATAGTCTTTAACTACTATCTGGTGCTTGTTGGCTAGCGTAGAAGCTACAGTTCTGCTAAGCCGCTGCACTTGGTCCCCTAAGCGCAGTCTATCCGCACAAGCACGACTGATGAAATTTCGTGAAGAGCCTATGTCTGCGAAGGCACCCACTTTGCGGCCACCTACATTGACCTCTACCACAAAATGTTCACCCTTAGGACCTCTACTAATCATTGCCCAAGAGTCTTTGGGGTCCTTCCCTGACCACTCAGTGTGTAACTCTTCTAGGGACTCAGACACATCTCTCGAACAGAGTGTCGCTGGGTCTGAATGTGTCTGTGGGGCGATGTGTGGGTCTCTAGTCTTGGCCATCGCCTGAAGTGGGGAAGGCAACGTTACCACTTCAGCGCGAGTAAGAGCGGCTAACACTCCTACTAGCACAAGGTGTTTCCCTGCGAAGTGCTCGCAGAAGCACTACCAGGGTTCGAGGATAAGCCCACTACCGTTGGAGCAGCTACCCTCGTCGTGACCTTCTTGCGTCAGCAAGTTCTTGACATGTGGCCATAATTGCCACAGTTCATGCATGTGCCCCTGGCAACTGGGTCCCTCCACACCTCGTAATCTAAACCAAGTTTTACCCATGCGGGTGTTCCTTGGTCGCCCTGACCCGTAGACACGCCTACCTTCTTCTTCCTGGTCTCTCTACCCTTTTCTTTGATAGGTGCCACGACTCCCCCATCCAAAGTCTCATTAGCCCCATCGTGCTCTGTCTCTTCCCCAAGGTCTGAAAAGTCATCAATTTCAGTTGTCAGACCATCATGGGTGACGAACATTAGTTAACCTTTCTTCTTCCAGTCCTGGGGAAGTCTCTTCTTCCTACCAACTCCCTGACTCTGATGAGCGAACCCAAGCTTTGCCTCTATATCTAAGGCTTTCTTGCTAAAAGAGGCGAAGCTATGTTGGTCAACATAGGCCTCATCCACCAGCTTAGTTTGACATCTCAGGTATCTGTGAGGAGTACCTGCTGGTCGTAGCGCACACCAGGTACCACAAGCAGATGTTCTACGGTGTCTGTGAGTTCACGAACATTCTTGTACCTTTTGGCACAAAGATTGTTGATCGCGTCGGTGAAATTCTGAGCCCATTGAGGGTCATGCCACCTATTATATATAGTCCATACGAAGTCTTCCAATGTCTGGGCCTCGGCCCAGGCATCGAAATTTTAACCGTAGCCATGTTGCTGCACTAACCCATTCAACCAACGCGTTGTCGATCCCTCTAAAATAGCAGCAACTATGACTTTCTGCTCTGGCCTGGTGAGCCTGTGCCTCACATAGGTAGGCACAATCCTCACCCAGGTATCCAAGTCCTCATCCTTCTTCCTGTCACTAGAGAAGGGCTTACGACTCAACAAGGGTATCTTGGGCATCCACTTCATAGGCTGGATCTGCCCAAGTGATTGCTGCAGTGGTTGCATAGCCACTGAGCCAGGTTGCTGCACGCTCACCTGGGCCTATCTTGACGATGGGACTGTAGTTACCACTGTCGTGGATGGTACAGTAGAAGCTCTAAGGACCGGACCACTAACTGGTGGTTGTCAGCATGAGAGAGGTATGCCATACATAGGCGAGAAGGTTTGCCCTATCAGCGACGGCGTCACTGACGGACCTGCAACCGATGGGGGAACTACAGAGAACCGGGGCTGCCTTATGACTGGGCGAGGCCCCTGAAGTGCAGCCAAAGTTCGTTTATGGCCTGCCATTAGTTCAACCAACATTTCCTGCTGAACTACCTGCGTTTCTGCCACACAGAATAGCGAGTTGCGCAGCGACCGATCAACAGGATTTAACGTAGCATCATCTAGTTCTTCTAGTCCTCTTAGCTTCTGCAACCTAGTGCCTAATCTGACTTTTCTCAATCTAGCCCTTTCTCTTCTCTCTTCTACATCAATCAATTGCCGCTGCAACTCATCATGAAGAGCTTCCGCTTGGAGGATCTCATAATCCTCCGGAGTGAGTGGTTGCTGCTGGCTGACTTGCACGCCAATAGTCTGACTTATGGAGCCTTGAGTACTCTGACTGATTCCTAACGAAGAGGCCTGTGAAGAGGCATGTGACATGGTAGAGGAGGTAGCCATGGTCACACCTATGCTAGCTATGCTCCTAGCCCTGGCGCTGGCCTCAGCGTCCCTTGTCCTCCGCACTGCCGCCCTCTCCCTAGCTTCTCTCCGCAGCCTCCTTTCCTCTCCTGGACCTATCTTTAGGAAGGTCAAAGGTCGACTAAGAGCAATTTTGCGAGTAACCCTAAGATCTTTCACTGACTCCTCCTCCTCACTACTAACAACTTCACTCATGAGCTACAGTGGAGTGTGATCTAAACTAGAATCCACAATGAATCCTACCTTAGCCTGACACCCAACCAAGTAAGAATAATCAATGAATCCAGGTTAGCTTGGAGAAAATAGTCAAGAGGTAACCAATAACTAGTGTCAGATCCTACAGGCAACACTATTTCTATTTTTAGATTATTCTAAAAGGTAAAGTCTCTGAGGATCCCAAACAGCTCGGCGGTCGCTGGCTAGGGCGAGCGGCCGTACTTTTTTGTGGTTTCCTGCTGATAACCTACTTGTCCCAATGTATGGCATTCGCTTAGAAATCTAAGCGAAGAAGGACTTCGTACTTCGTACCTTCCTTTGCTCTAACCAACTGAGCTACCTAAACGAAGGATTTCGTGCAACAGAATGAATCAAAGAACTAAACACGTTTCCAATACCTACAGCGGCTCCAGCTAATGCGATTGTTGCGGAGTAAATCAACCAAGGGTAGCGTTGCCGAAATGCGCGTGGAAAAGCACTTGGTCAAACCGAGCAACAGGAGGCTCGCACCTCCGAGGCCGGCTCGGGAGATAAAAGTCGGAACGAATGAGGATAACGAACTCGATTATGCAACATGGTTATCTCAAGCGCCTTAGTATACTCTACTTGTTCACCTGTGTCGGTTTGGGGTACGGTTCAATCTACAATTGATTCTAGAAGTTTTTTCCCGGAAATTGAGGCCCTGTCCAATCATCCAATTTTGTTTTGTTCAGTAGCGCTAGCTTAATTCAAATTTCGTCATTGCATGCAGCATAGGATAAACTAGACTATGTGCAGTTGTCTGTTAGTTGTCAGTCAAGTCTGTAACAACAAAATAATCCAAAATAAAAACAATCTACCTGTTGAGATGCATGCTAGATGGCAGTTTGTCTAATTAGTGCCACAAAGAACAGTTACCGGAATCCCCCTTCTCCTTGTATCCTTTTTGAGTTGTCACTTTGTCTCAACGCCCTAAGCATCTGGTTGAGCAACGTGTCTGAAGGTGTGCAATCCGGCCCACCCCTGTGCCCCAAGTCTATGGCGAACCTGCCAGCCCCTGCAATTTATTTACCCTCGCATGCAATGAGCCTTACACCCGGCTTGATCTAGCTGATCAAGATGCAGTTTAAACCACCAGTACACGGCCCCAGCCTTGCAGTCCAAAACTTGTCGCCACAAGAAAACGAGGCCGAAACGTCAAATGTTGCGCCTGCCGTTGATAAATTAGATCGGCGGTCGTGGTTTCGTTTCGCGCCTCCGGAATTTGAGGTGTTAGGCCCGCGGCCCAGATGCCAATTTACTGGTGCTTTAAGGACAACCCCCAAAGTCCTCAGGAATTATTTAACGTCGTAGACAGGACGACGATCACAGCCACAGTCAACACCGAGTCCCTGCTAGAAATACTTAAAAACGGTCTGGTAAGCGTCTGTTCAAAGGGTTGGCATGCCCTGCATGACCTCTATTGCGCAGCAGCAGAAGCAAGGACTTGCGGCAAAGCATGCGTGTACTAGTCCCAACCGGTTGGCATGGTGACCGTGACCCAAGTGCTTCGTCCAAGGCCCTTCAGAGGCTTCGCCCGTCCCCCACCAGCTTGCTACCCAGGAAGAATGTCGACTCTCAAGGTTGAGCGCTCGCCACACCTCACATTGATAGGACTATCAAGACATAACTCACTTCCTCACGGTAAGAAGCAATGAAGAGGGTAGATAAGGAAGAGAGCAACGTACCTCATAATGCTGCCCCCAACCACAGATTTATCACCGGCAACCTGATGTGCATTTATGATGACCAGTCTTTGCCTCGGCAGAGTCGGCGCAACCAACAACAGAATGCAGTTCCACCTCGGCTTAAATGCCACATCAGCGAGCTCTCATCATCCAGCGTACACCCCTAATGTCACCACATAGCTTCCTGGCGTGCCCACACGACCCTAGGCCGCCAATCGATCAACGCCCAAGCCTTATCACTGCCCCACACCTCATGCAAAGCACCAAACCAATGAAGTGCAGTTCGAACCAGCTCCGATACCAAATTGCAAGGAAAATTAACAATAGCGAGATGACAATGTCCAGAATGCACAATCACATTGAAGGCCAGATAGTATCACAATGTCCAGAAAGCAGAAATGCACCAATATAACACCAATGAAGAATCGTAACACTGAAAACCAATGTCAATGAGAGCTTGCTCTCGCCACCACCAACATGAGTGTCCAGGCCCTATCTCCCTACTTGGCGCTCGGCGCGCAACCTACTTCCTACACAGCTACAGTCTGCCTACTAATTGACAATGCAACTGTTGACGTCGGCAGCTCACGAAGTACTTGAAGATGTCGCCCAATGCAGACAATCGCCAATACCAGGTGCGTGCCCTCACATCATCATCATCGTCATCTCTCTCTCTCTCCCTCTTCTTACACCCACGTCTTCCCTTAGTCCCTGCCCCTCACTGTGCAACCAAGCCCCCAGCCAGCTATGAAGGCTGGGCTATGGTGCAGCCCTCAGCTGCGCCCTGCTTCCACGCACTACTGCACGTGCGCAGCACCTTGCTCCAGCGCTAGCAGCCAGCACGCGAACGAAAGCTCCAGCAGCGCTGCCGCCAACCAGCAAGTGCATGAATGCCTCGCCAGGCAGCGAGCTCTTTCCTATATGGAAAGAGCCTGCCTCTCTCGACGGCCTGGCTGGCCTGGGCCTCTACCAACAAGCTTCCGGTAGGGCCCAGGAGGTTGTGCCTCCGATGCTGCTGTTGGGCCTCCGTTTGGTTGGGCATCCCAACTGCCTGTGTATGAGGCTGCAATTCTCGCCCAGGGCCTGCATTTTTAGAAAAGCCCGGAAGGCCGTGGAAATGTCTTGTTGCTCGGCCTATGTTTCCCTCAACCAACTGGCACGTCGAAACTGCCTGGACCCCAAATACGAAATAGACAGCTAAGGGCCTCTCGTGATTTTGTTAGGCCCGCCTTCATTTGTAAGTATCATTGTTAGATTGTTGTCTGATGGAGACGTAGGCAGCAGGAGCGCTTTGCGCATGCGTGGTGAGGCATAGGCGCTAGACCACGCCACGTCATGGGTTGACGAGGAAAGTGGTCTGACCCCAGACAGGGGGTTCCACGTAGGATTTCACAGCCACCTTGCTCCTGCCATGGGGCAACATCGACTGATGTTAGTGGAGTCGAAGTGGAGTGAGCCTTTTGCGAGACCAAAGTGTGCAAGGGATCAGGATCCACACGATCCTACATATCCGAGAAAGCAATCCGCAAATTGCATCTCGGAATGAAGGTGAAAAACCTGTCTAGACCTATCACGTTTGTTTTGGCTGACAAAAGCACGATCACTGTCTCGCAGTATGTTGATCGTGTGAAGTGTCGATTTCGGATCAAGGAAGAAAAAATAATTCTTCACGAATCACGAGGTATCCTTCCTTGTAGAAAAAAACTTGCAATTTGACTTGATTCTGGGAATGGATTGGCACGAGGAAGGCCACCCAGACATTAAGTTCAAAGAAAAGATTGTGCAATTGCATAACGCACAATCTGATTTGAAACCAATCAAATTGTTTCATAAGTCTGACTCTGACTCTAGTCTCTTTTTTTGTTGTATGAGTTATCCAGCCTTTCGTTCAATGGTTTCAAAGAAGAAGTTGGAACAAGAAGTAATGATGGTTTTAGTAAAAAGAGCAGGAGAGTCTTCTACTTCCTATCCTTCTTCGACTGAAAAACTCTTAAGCGAGTATCCCTACATATATAACTATCGCTAATTTTCGGCCTGTGACATTCAGACGATCGGGCCCCTGCGATTTTACACTCTGCGACGGTCCCGATCGTCTGCTGATCGTTTGCTCTTAGAAGTTGAACCGTCGCGGCGGCTCCGCGCCAGGGCCTGTACTAGGCCCATGCGCCAGCGCCGGTACCAAAACGTGTTACCGGCCCTACGGCACGCGGTACCGGGGTTGCGCCGCTACCGGTCCAGCACTGCTACCGGTCCAGTGCCGCTACAACGTATAGAAACTACTTTGGGCAGTGCGCGTGCCCGAGGGCAGGTATACTGGACGCTCGACGCCTGTTCGACAAAGCTACTCGACCGAGCTACGCTACGCTACTCTAGGATCGATGCCTGTTTTCGACACTCAAGCTACTGGACTGACTTCTACGCTGCTATGCACGACTACGACTTCGCTCTACGTTGGACACACGCACCCGCACACACACATGCACGCACACACACGCACACACGCACGCACGGACGCACACACACTCACAGACTCACACACACACACGCACACGCAAAAGTGGTGAGTCTTGGGCGGACTGTCAAGGTTCAACCTCCTGATGAGTCGGTGGAAGTCCGACGAAACAGTCTGGCTGAGTCATGTTGTGAGTTCTGTATAGCGGACATAACGACACATGCGCAGACTCACACACACACACAAACACACACAAACACACACAAACACACACTCACACACACTCACCCAGGACACCATCTCTACATTCTGAATGTTGGACGTTGAGGCTTGAGCTGTGCAGCGGCAAGGCTTTCGAACGACCGCACCTTGATGACTAACGGTGAGTTTGTTATTCGTGTCTGTTGCTTTCATTTTTTGTGGTCTTGGAACTATGAGAGCGAGAGAGTGCGTAATGTCCACGCGCGCGTGTGTGTGTGTGTGTGTGTGTGTGTGTGTGTGTGTGTGTGTGTGTGTATGTGTGTGTGTGTGTATGTGTGTGTGTGTGTGTGTGTATGAGAGAGAGAGAGAGAGAGAGAGAGAGAGAGAGAGAGAGAGAGAGAGAGAGAGAGAGAGAGAGATTCCGTGCTTCATCGATAGTATCTATATTGGGAAAAAAAAAAAAACATTCACATGCACTTCTTAGCTGGCCGGTGCGGGTTTGGTGTGTGGTGAAGCAAGA